TGTTTTTACATGAGTAGAATGTGTCCTTTTATTGAAAATGCATCTCTGGGTTATTTGTGGGGCCTGCTTGGTGTTTTTGCATGAGAAGAATGTGTGCTTTTATTTAAAATGCATCTTTGGGTTATTTGTGGGGCATAGGAATTTATTCAATTCCCCCCACAAAAAATATAGTCCAGCCCCCCCCACAAGGTCTGAGGGACAGTGGATCAGCCCCCTGCTGAAAAAGTTTGCTGACCCCTGGAATAGGGAGTCCCATAATGACTGTGGATTCCTGATTGGCTACAGTTCCAGGACGGAGCCATAGTCGGGTCACGCCTCTTTTCCAGAAATGTCAAGCCTGGGTTACTGGGTGGGGGGATGGTTGGGACTATCAGCATTCTGTGAGTGAGGGGCATGGCTGGCACATATGACCCCTCTTAAGGACTTCCTTATTTGTTTTCCCCAAAGTACTAAAAAGCAAAAGCAAATAAATAAATAAATAAATAAATAGATAGATAGATAGATAAAAAATAAAAATAAAAAGAGAGAGAGAGAGAGAGCGAGAGAGAGAGAGAGAGAAAGCGCCTTTCATACATTAAGATGTAGTTACAATTATGGGCCCTGTTGGAACGGTGGAAATATCATCTCCACAACATCAAAGGCTCGTTTCCTTAGATGATAATTAGAGCATCTCTGTGGGTGGTCTGTTTCCTAACTTTACTCAGCATGAGCGATTTTGTTCTACATAAACAAACGCGAAGAGGTGCTGTGTGACCACAAGGGCCTCTGCCACTTCTGATTAGTTGAGGCATCAGTATTAATTCCACTAGCTAATTATGCCCGGCAAAGTAAATGTAGCCAACCAAACTTCTTTGTTTTGACTTGGGCTGATGGAAACAGAGTTTGGGGGTTGGAAAGGTGTCTGCAGCTGTGACTAGGGTTAAGAAACTGTCACTCCCACTGAGTGCAAACCTATAGTCTTTCCCCCAACATACAAAGAGAGTTGTTGTTGTTGTTGTTTTTCTCAACGTACTAGGCAAACAGCAGAAATTATGGCTAAGCATAGGAAGTGGTCTTACACCGGGTCTGATGACTTGCATGTCTAGCTTAATGCTGTGAGCTGCTGTGGCTCTGGTGAAGTCCCCAAAATTTAGGTGCAATTGGTTTGTGCGGGGAGCCACAGAATTGTGGGTTGTGATTAACATAGTACAGTGGTACCTCGGGTTAAGTACTTAATTTGTTTCGGAGGTCCTTTCTTAACCTGAAGCTGTTCTTAACCTGAGGTACCACTTTAGCTAATGGGGCCTCCCACTACTGCCACATCGCTGGTGCGCGATTTCTGTTCTCATTCTGAAGCAAAGTTCTTAACCCAAGGTACTATTTCTGGGTTAGCGGACTCTGTAACGTGAAGTGTATGTAACCTGAAGCGTATGTAACCCGAGGTACCACTGTATCCTTAGGCCCCAGGCTGAACTCAGTCCTTTAGGCTGGGCATTGACTTCTCTTGTCCACAACATACTATAACAGCGCTTCCTGTTAAATTTAACCCTGCCTAAGCAACAAGCCTTGGTGTGCTACTTTTGTATTTCGGTTGACCTTCAGTCCTGACTTCTTGCTTGCTTTTCGGTCCTGCCTCCAGGCTTTGACCTTCTGAGTTTTGGTTTGCTCCTCCTCCTGTCTTCTGCCTCGTCCTTTGGTTGCATCTTTGGTCCTTCCTTATGGCTTTGTCCTGTTTCTGATGCCCTGGTGCAACTTTCAGTTCCTGTTGCCTGCTAATCAGCTCTTATTCCTCTGTTTTTAAATTTTAAATTCTTCTGTGTTTTAAATTTAAAAAGGGGGAAAGGGAAAACAAATGTGTATACATGCAAAGGGAGAGAGGGAAAAGGTGTGTGTGTGTGTGTGTGTGAAGACTTTACGTATGAATAGACTCATATTAAAGGAGACTTGCAAGGACAGACATTGGCTATTTCTTTATTTCATTCCCAAATTGTATAAATAAGTCTCATCTTTCCATTAATTTATTTTGATGGCTGTTACTAACAGCTTTCTTTTTACATCAGCTTGGTCACTGGCACTATCCCCCCACTTATCCACTCTGCAATAACTGGAAGATTTTTGGTGGAAAGGACAAACAGTTGCGAAGCAGAACCCCTTCCGTCAGCTCCGTTCTAAGACAGCCTTCACCAGACTCCTCTCCACGAACGGTGTCTTTTCCAGCTGGTCATGATAAGAGCTACCATTCAACTTCAAGAATTGGTGCCTGCGTTTGCTTTCCCTCCTCCTCCTCCCTGACTTTTCCTTTCGTGTCATGTCTTTTAGATTGTAATTGTGCAGACAGGAACTCTCTTTCTTTTGATTGATTGCATGTAAGCTGCTGCACTCAGTGGAAACGAATCCCCTGAAACTGGGGCAAAGAACCTCAACCTGGGGGCCAAATGAGTGTTTTTGCCCGACTGGAAGGTGTCCTTCAGCTGCTTCTCTGGACAGAGGCGCATGCATGTGCCTTAAAACTAGCCAGCTGCACAGAGGTAAAATTTACACCGATGGCTCTGCTCTTTTGTCTCTGGCCCCGCCCACCAGTGACATGTGGCCCCTGGGAGATTGTCAAGAACGGAATGTGGCCCTCAAGCTGGAAGAGGGCCCCCATCTTGCTCTGAATCAATGTGCTCTTCATGTGTCTATCCATGGCACTAAGTGAGGCAGCTAAATGGACCAGTGTACCACAGAGCTCCAGTTGCTAGGGAGGGCTATGGCCTCTATGCCCTGACTTCTGGCTTCCCACGGGCCTCTGATTGGTTACTCTTAGAAATGGGATGTTGGCGCTTCAAGACTTAATCTTAATCTTTCAAGGCTCCTCATATGGGTGCACTCTTCCCATTTTGGAGAAAATCTATGCTTCCAGGTGTCATAAGAAAGCTGAAGAGATAGTGCAGGATAGTGCGCACCCCGGAAGTGATCTCCTTCAGCTTCTGTCTTCTGGAAGAAGGTACAGGGTTATAAAGACTAGGACTAGCCGCCTGAGGAAGTTTTTATCCAAATGTGATTTTGGTTTTAAATGCAGTGTAAGGTAGTCTCTGTGGGAGTATATTGTATTTAATTATGGGGTATCAGAGTTTTTAGGGGGTTAACCAGGCTGGGATAGCAGGCTTGTTGGTTTTTGAATGTCTGATGTATATTTTTTCAATTTTGTTGTTCTGTATGGGACAATGACAATAAAGATTATCGTATTGTATCGTAACACCTCAGCATCTCGTTTACAGGCTCCTGAGAGCTCAAAGCTTCCTTTTTGCGAATGAGAAGTTGCTCATTTTTCATAAAATCAGTTGGAACTTCACCCTCCCTCACCCCCTCCACCCTCCAAACAACCTAGCAGTTATTAGGACTGTCAATGAGTGACAAATGAGTAAAGTGCTTGCTCACTCTCCCCAATGGGGACTTTTTTCACTGCTCTTAAAGGGCCTTAAAAGGTTACAACTGTGATGAATGCTTTGGGAACATGAAATATATATATATTATGCGTAAGCCAAGGTGACCTTTTGTGTATGAGAGCGAAGGCTGGGCTCTGCCTATCATGTTCGCAATTATACCTTTAAAAGGAAGACACACACTTCTGGTTGGCGTCTAAGGTAAAAGGATGCTGGATTAGATGAACCTTTGGCCTGATCCTGCAAAGCCCCCCTTCTGCTCCGATTTATGCCATCAAGTTCAAGAAGCAATGGGAAAGAGCCTAGTGGATTTGCCCACCAACGAAGGTTATCAGCACTCTTGCCGGTGAACCAGTCCAATGGGCAGCGCAATAGCCGTGGCTGTTGATCAGGGGCATTGGTAGGGCATCAAGGCAGGGAGTCCAACAGTAGGTGGCGCCAGAGCCTATGACAGGCAGGACCAACTAATGCCAATTATGTCCCCGCTGCTGAGTTCTGCAAGGGAAACACAGAGATGGAGGAGGAGGAAAGTGACAGCCTGTGCCACCCCCTGGATGGGCTACAACAAAGAAATAGGGCAGGTGGGGGGGGGGGGAGATTGGCTGAGAGCAGATGGAGGCTGTTGGGGGCAGTGCCCAGTTCACCCTGAGGAACCAGTCTCCACAGGAGCAGTGCCAGCAGTCATCTTCATTCGGACAATAGTGTTTTAAAATAAAAGACAATTTGAAATAATAGAACCTCCAGACTTGTAGATAAAAGGTAAAGGGACCCCTGACCATTAGGTCCAGTCGTGGCCGACCCTGGGGTTGCGGCGCTCATCTCGCTTTATTGGCCGAGGGAGCCGGCGTACAGCTTCCGGGTAATGTGGCCAGCATGACTAAGCTGCTTCTGGCGAACCAGAGCAGCGCACAGAATGCCGTTTACCTTCCCGCCGGACCGGTACCTATTTATCTACTTGCACTTTGACGTGCTTTCGAACTGCTAGGTTGGCAGGAGCAGGGACCAAGCAACATGAGCTCACCCCGTCGTGGGGATTCGAACCACCGACCTCCTGATTGGCAAGTCCTAGGCTCTGTGGTTTAACCCACAGCGCCACCCGCGTCCCAAACATGTAGATAGTATCCCTCTGAAAACAAGTGGCTAACGTAGCTCCATGGTGCAGCGATAAAACAGGTAACACATTTGCAAAGCTAAGCAGGGCTCAGTATGGTTTCCAATTGGATGGGGGACCACATGTTGCGATTGCTGCAGAGGGTTGGACTAGATGACCCTTAGGGTACCTTCCGATTCTATGATTCTATTTGAGTGTGGCGGTGGGTGGCAGTAGCATTGTGTCCTGCTCGTGAACTTTCTAGAAGCTTCTAGGTGTGATCTGGGATCCTAAAAGACCTTTGGTAAGACCTGGTAGTTTTTCATGCACCAGGGGTGTGGTGCCTTTTACTACAAAAGAATTTTTACACATTTCCTCTTCGTAAATCAAGAGCGCTCATTATGCCTTTGCACTTTTATCATACTGACTAGACCACATATATTGCAAATGGAGATTTTTATTACTTTTTAAGAGTGCCTGTATAAAAAAAGATCAAAGTCAGGAGATTTCTCACCTCATTTTTTTTTATTGGTTTTCCACTCAGGGGGTCAAACAGGTTTAAGGCCAACAGGCAAACAACCATTCTAAATCCCCCTGAAAAGGGGAAAGAAACTAAAGAAACAAGAACATTTCTTATCATTCACATTAAAAAAAGATCAAACAGTACCCCACTTGAGTGGCTAAAACTCTCCTGTGTGTTAGAAATATCTGTGGGGAGAGGAAGGATTTGCTGGGTTATACCACCCCCTCTGCCACATCCCAATCACCTCTATATCAGTGATCTTCAAACTTTTCTGACCTGGGACACACTTTTAATCCAAATATGTATTTGGGGACCATTTATCCCCTCCATTCTCTCTCCTCCCCATCGCTATTTTTATCTTGATCATGTGGCTGTTTCAACCCATCCTTCCATCAGGATCCAAACCAATATGGAGTCCCAACCCACCAGTTGAAGACCACCAAGCATGGAGGAAACCTTGGGCCCTCCAGGCGTCACTGAACTCCAACTCTCATCATCCCTCACTATTGGCTAAGCTGGCTGGGGCTGATGGGAATAGGAGTCCAACAAGCTCTGGAAGGCCCCAAGTCCTCTGTCTCTGCTCCACAGTGGATAAGGTCTGCAGCGAGAATTGCTTCCCTGGGCATTTCAGAACTCCTTCTACAGATCTTTGCCATGGAGAACACCTGGTCTTGGTGACAGGATTGTAGGAACAGATCCCACTCTCCCTTCAATTTAGGAAGCCTTTAACATCTGGGCGGAGCTAGTGATTCCATTTATTCAATTTGTGTTCTGAGGGATTCAATTTAAAATGGTACAATTAGTTTGGAATGATCACTTGAAGTAGCCGTGTATACATTTCAAAAATACGTCGTCTTCTTTCTTAATGTTGCCATTTCACTTGATAACATATCATCCAGGTTTATAACCGCACTTATATAAGCACACACCAAATGTAGGCTTTTATAAAGCACAGGAAGGTGATTTGTTATTCATTGAAAAGTGATTTCACACCAATTTGTAATACCGTTTGTCTGTGAATTCCCTACATACACACATTTTGAAAGCCTGGGAGCCCCAAAAGACACATGGTTTGTGCTGACACAACACATTATATTCCTTAATAAGGAATATACCCATCCTTTAAAATGTGGACTGGTCCCACATAGGAACACGAGAAACCTATTAAACCATAAAAGTGAAAAAAAACCCACACACCCACACCCACCAGTTTGGTAGGATTATTAAGCCATCTACAAATAACCCTGGACTCAAAAGACCTCAATTAACCCGATTACTTCATTGAGTAAATACTCCCCCGCCCCCAGCACAGAGTGTGAGTTCAATTTCATTCTTTTAAGAAATCAAAATGTGTAAGAGGAGGAGAAACCAGAAAAAAAAATGGTTTAAACTGATTGTTCCATTGGTTTAAAGGGCAGAGCACCATGAATTGTATTTCTGAAAATGACTTAGGGCTCTCTAATGGAATTCTAAGTACTCTCACCAAACGACAATTCCCGGAATTTCTTGGCTGAAGCTGCAAACAGTTAAATTAGCTCACCGCTGATTTAGGTTTGTTTGTAGCGAGGTGGAAATGGCAAGCTCTAAATGATTTCCTTTCAGAGGACTGATTCATGGGTGGTGAATCAGTGTCAAATCGTGCCTACAGTTGAGCACTGCACACACGTGCAGGGCCTACTCAAGCGATCAACGCAAAAATGCCATAAAGTGAGCATTTAAAATGGAAGGCTGTGGAGCATTGTCTCTTGAGACATGATTCCCCAGATCCAGGAAATGCCCTCTCTCGTAAGGTCCTGGGGGTCAGAACAGGGCACCCAGGTGCAGCTCACCTGGGCGAGCCACCATTTTATATTGCCCACAATCCACTGCTGTGATGGTACACAGGTGAAGCGTGGGAAGTCGCTGCTGCTATAACTTCCAGGGGGAGCCCACTGATGTCAAAGAAAGCCACCCAAGGGCACTAGGCCAGGAAGCCCTCAAAACCCGGAGACAACCCTGCTCTCCGTTCCACTTTAAACAGTCATGGCTCCCCCCAAAGATTCCTGGGAACTGTAGTTTGTTAAGGGTGCTTAGAGGAGACACTCCCTCCCTAGCAGGGAGATACAATTCTCAGAGTGGTTTAACAACCAATCCCTCTTCCCAGGGAACTCTGGGAACCGTAGCTCTGTTAGAGGAATTGGGGGGGGTGTGTGTCTCCTGACAACTCCCAGCACCCTGAACAAACTACAGCTCCCAGGATTCTTTGGGCAAGCCATGACTGCTAAGTGGCCCAATGCTGCTATAAACGTATAGGAGAGATGGAGCCTCTGTGAGGCATGATAGACCTGTGGCAAATTGCACATGTCAGAGGTGTCTTTCCTTATTAGAAACAGGTATAGAATATTTCCCAGCTTCTTACAGCTGCCCTGTAATTGCATACGTGTACCTAGTATTTGCTTTGAACTGAGGGCAAACCCCTTTCATTCTTCCATTAACGTGGCATTTGGGTTCCCTGCAGCCTCCTGTTGTTTATTGGGCTGTCATGTAGACGGTTGTGCCGTGTGTTTGTTTCGCGAGTGCATTTAAGCGCTGCTATAAAAGTGGTTTATTCTAAGAACAGCGCATTCTCAGAATATCTCCTTAATTACAAAATCAATAGCGCTGTCACTACTTTTATAGCACAAGTTAAATTTATACGCACCCTTGACAAGTGAATATAATCCCTCTGACTGCCTGTTTGACTTTGCGACGTTCAGGTGCTTTCTGATTATGATGAGAAATCTTTGCCATGGCCAACTTTTTTTAAAAAACAACAAAGGAAATCACACAATGCACAGTTCTGATACCTCACCCTGAGCTGGAGAGGCGCCCCTCCCCCCATATTTTGGCAGAGGAAAGAAATGGCTAGTTTTGGTTAAGCAAAGCTGCAATGTCTTTCTCGACCTCTCGATTGCTCAGTTCATTCAAACTGTAGTATTTGTGAACAATCTTCTCAGGGGTGACAGCCACCACCCTTAGCCCATGCGTGTCTTCTCCCAGCTGGCACCCTATGGCAGACGAAATAACCATTTCAATATTTTTGTAGGAGCCCCCAGCATTTCGGTGGTAGTGCCCGGAAAACACTGCTTTGACACCTGTTTAAAAGGGGGAAGAAAAAACACAGTCAACAACAACAACAACAACAACCAACAGAATTCGAAACATCGACTATAGAGGGAAGCACAAGAAAAAATATTAAGTAAAATATAAGAAGTTGTATTTATTTATTTACTTATTTATCTCAAAAATGTTTTTAGCAGGTGCCAAAAGGTGTGTGCGTGCGTGCGTGAAGGTGTGTGCATGCTATCAAGAGTCAGGGAGTTTCAAAGTTTTGCATTTAGATCTTACAAAAAAAATCAGTATCAAAGCAACCACTACAAAGCCTCCTTTTCCATGTAAAGTTTCTGAAGGGATGGGCCTCCACAGATAATCTTAATAACCGGGCAGATTCACAAATGAATGTTATCTTATGATACCCCTCCCCCCCAAAAACCCCCCATTTAGGGCAGCTGACTCATACCTTACTGGGTCAGTGGGCACATTTGCAATGCTGAGAAAGTGACGTGCGTGCCAGTCACAAAATGGCTTCCCTGGGGGCGTGGCCTAACGAAAAAGAGCTGCTGTGGGGACATGGCAGAATGGCTGCTACACCTAAAAAAGCAGGAAAAGGGATGGGACCACAAAATAGTACAGGCCTGCCTCACATCAATGGAGGAAAAGGCCACTGTATTCAGTCCCACAAAGTCTCCTTTGTGGGCATCCAATCCTGGCATGAAATATGGTCATACTTAAGGTGGCAATATGCAGTGAAACCAGAAACTGGGCAGGAAGAGGAAACAGTCTCTGATGTATTGCAGATTTCTGAGGGGATATTTACTGAAACCTTTCGAAAGCACCATAGGTGTCACTGGCATTTATGCTGGCTTCCGCAGGCGCTGAACTGGCAACCCCTGATTTAGGGCTTTACTTTAAGGCCTTTTAAATTTTTTTACAAGTAAGATTATTCCCTTAATTTCATTTGTTGACCAAAGAAAGGTTGAAAAGAATACGTTATTTCAGAGAGAAGTGTTGCACAAGATAATATGCATTATGTCAATTTAGGCAATATCCTTACGGCTTTGTTTACGAGTGCCAATAAAAGCGGCATGTAATTTAAGCATGAATACACTCTCTCTCTCTTTTTTTTACAGTTAATTGTTACTAATGCAAACTGATTTCGGTTTAATAGAAATTGCTTGGGATGCATTGCCATTTTGAGATAGGGAATTAAGGGGAAAAACAGCAGCATCTCATAAACAGGCTGAGCTCCCGAAACAAAAGCTTTTGGCTGCGAGGCTGTAACAAATTTCCTTGGCCTCGATTTCAATCCTATGCTCTTCCAAGAGGCTGGAAGGCAGTGGTACCTTTATCAGATGTTCAGGAAGGTCATTCTTCTTGCTTTTGCTATTATTGAGAGTCCTATCCAATACAGAACTAAGTTCAAGTCTCTTAGCGGCATACCTGCTCCACTTGCAAAACGTTTTGTGCCAAAGGAACACCGTTCCACAAGAATTATGAGTGGAGATCTGCCCCCAATATTGTATTTCATCAATAAAAACCAAATAAGGCAATAGCTCTTGAAGCTTGTATTGGAGAGCTGTTGTATGCCACTATTCATCATCCTCAGCCCCGAAAATCACAATACACAGAGTGGCTTATCTACAAAAGGGAGATATGGGCAGTGAGCTACATCATAACATGGTTCATAATAATTTACATACACCATGGGAATGGTGTTTCTAGGACTAAGGTGAAACTGTGAAGCTCCTTTGCTATTTTTGCTGTTGGATGCTGTATGTTGCTTAAGTGCGGTAATCTTATATCCACAGTATTGATGTGAGTTTCCTTTGCAGGTTATTATATCTGCTACTGTTTTGCTAGATTATTATGGAATGGTTTTTGTACTGTTTTTTTTTGGAACATAGTCCTGTTCTCTGCTTTGAGCATTTTCTGTGTGTGTGGAAAAGCGGTATACAAAAAATATATATGAACAAATGAATGAATAAATATACATAAGAAGCATTTGGGTGACGTTGCACAACAGATTGGCCACTGTGCTGTGCAATGGGTTTCCATTAGCTTGAGTCTACAGACCTACAATTGTTTGGCAACTCATGAGCAAGCAGCTAGGAAGCCACAGCATATGAGGTCTCCCTCTTGAGGCTTCCAGTTGATTAAAAAAACCACAGGTCTCTGCTTCCTCTAGTTCCCCCTCCTTGCTCCCCAAACTTGACCTTGGCTTGCTTGGACTATGCTGAGCTTTGAACCTGGCTTTCTAGATCAGGCATAGGCAAACTCCGGCCCTCCAGATGTTTGGGACTACAATTCCCATCATCCCTAGCTAACAGGACCAGTGGTCAGGGATGATGGGAACTGTAGTCCCAAACATCTGGCGGGCCGGAGTTTGCCTATGCCTGTTCTAGATGAAGTGTTTCAGTAAAAGGCTTTTACCTCTTTGGACCAAAAGCCCCAACCCCAAGGACACACCCTGGAGCAGAGCTATGATGGGGACAGATTCTTGCCCTGGAGAGCCACCACCAATCAAAAGTAGGAGAATTGCTAAAAGACACCTCTATTCCCCTCACAGAGCTACAATTCCCAGAGGGGTTAAACCAGTGAACTCTGTGAAGGGGAATAGGGGCCTCAGGAGCCTCAACATATTACAATTCCCAGGATTTTTTGGGTGAAGCCACACGATTTGAAGTGGGACAACAGTACTTTAAATGTATGGTGCAGATGGAGCCTTGGTTTAAGACTGGGATTAATGAAGGGAGGCAGTCCTGCCCAATCCAAGTCATTTAGGTAGGGTTGCCATTTAGGTAGGAATTTTCCAGGAAATGGTGTCCGGACAAAAATTGCTGAAAAGTCTGGGAAAATCTGGATGCATGGCAACCCATGTCAGTAGTGTAGATTTTGGTGAATTTTGGTGAAGTTATTAATATTGCAGTTGTTGTATAAGAGATGATGATGACTGGAATGTAATTGAAATGAATACTACCGTATTTTGGAACACAGAAATAAAGAAAACCATAAAACCATTAATTCTAGGATGTGGAGGGCCACCTAAATTATATAATTCTGTATTTGAACGATTGGTATTATTAATTGTATTATAAACTGGTATTGTTATAATGAGGCTATTATTTGATTGTAACTGAAAACTAATAAAAATTATTATTTAAAAAAAAGCTCCAATTTTGCCTTTAAAAAGCTCAACAACTTTTGTGTCTGGATCTTCACCTCTTGAAATATGGCAACCCTAATTTAGGGCTTATAGGTAGTAACTGGCTCTTTGAACTGAGCCTGGAAACAACACAGAAGCCATTGCAGCTAAAAACACCACCACTGGATTCATATGCGCCATAAAGCTGATCTCAGTCAACACTTTGCTTGCTGCCAATCTAATGTCCAATTCAATTTTTGCCAAATGCCACATTTCCTTCAGGTTCCCAATAACACTGTCAACTCCCCTAACGAGCTCGCTTTTATTGCAACGGCTTCTTAATTATTAGTGACTCCATTTACTGAAGACTGAGCGAGACAGGCCACTCATAATGATGCCGTTTGACAAAAGAGGTGTGTGTGTGTGTGTGTGTGTGTGTGTGTAGAATCACTTTCATTTCCTGATGGTTTAATTGTGTGTGAGAGAGAAAGACAGAACGACTGCCAGACAACCGAACGTTCACATTCCAACATCAAAGTGACTTCCCCTCCAATTTATTTATTTAAAAGCATTTCCAAACTGCTTAACATTTAAATATATTGGCAGTGTATGGAACAACAAACATTAACAGGGTAAAACGGTAGCAAAAAAGCAGAGAGAAAAACAGAAATCTAGTAATAACAGGGTTCAGTTTTACGGGTCAGGGAAAGCCTGACTTATTACATGTTGAAATACTGCTCCCCCTCCACACAAAAAGACCATTAAGTCTCGAGTGGGTGTTGCCGGTCTGCACATCTGTAATTTTCAGAAAGCATCTGTGGATGCCAATCATAAAATCTCTGCCATGAGCGTGAGGTAAAAAACAAAATGGCTGCCATATCTAAAAATGACAGGATCACAAAATGGTGCTGGCATGCCCTCCGTCAATGGAAAAAAGGCACCTGAATCGGACACCTCCACTTGCTCACAGGGAGAATCTCTGTGTACCTCTCCTCTGTTCACAATGGGAGGATGGGTGTCCAATCCTGGCATCCAACGAAATGTCTGCATGCTTAAAGGGGGGCGTTCAATGTGAGAGAGGCCAAGTCAGTGCAAACAGAAACTCAGCAGGGACAACAAACAATCTAATGTGGCTTTTCAAGGGGATATTTACTGAGACCTTTTCTGGGTGACTTAGGAGGTACTGGTAGGCATATTGACACATGTGGGTGCCAGGATGATGACCCCAGTTTGAGTGTAAAATTACAAAAGTGCAGCACTGGTCATTGTTGTCAGTGCCCTCCACTTAGAGGAAAGGAGCTTGCAGAGCCTTCTTCAGAGCACAATAACTTATTCACTGTGAGCTGCATCTGTCTCCATCATTAACTGATTTTCAGGAGAATTTTTTGAAAGCATTCCTGTTTACTCAGGCATTTCATGGCCACAGAACAGGGCAACTCTGGGACTGGCGAATGAGAGCATATTTCAAACCATTTTCAGAATGTCTTAATGGTGTTCTGCCAAAGGTTTTGTTTGCCAAAGGCCGTGGTTCTCTTGGATTAGAGAGCAATAAGAACACTAATGGGTGAAGGCTGTGGGTTTCGATGGTTACACAGCAAGCATTAGACATTGACATGCATCACACACACACACACACACACACACACACACACACACAGTCTACTTAGACTAGACAAAGAAAACTACTTATCCTTGCATCCAACTAGAATGAAACCCATTCCAGACTGCTTCAATCTTATGTTCCATTTGCTGTTGGAGCAGGGCTGGCCACGGCCATTTTACCATTTGAGGCAAAACCTGCCTCCGCCTGCTCCTCCACCTGAGGCAACTGGAGGCTGGGGAAACCCTGGTGCACTGAAAGCAGTGGGGGAGAGAAAAGGAGGCTGGAGAAGG